AAGCCGGCGATGTCATACTCGTATCGATTATAAAACAATTTATTAATAGAAATTTAAAAAATTTTGTACGTACAGCCAACATGATAAATATAGGTATCGAGTGACGTCATACTCGTATCGATTGAAAAATCGTTTTTTTTTTAAATAATGAGTCCCGACACAGATCCGACACAGAGCACCCCGACTCCATGTGGTCTTGTGGTCCCTACCCCTAGAGTGAAGGAATAAAAAGAGAGCTAGAACCTCGCGCCGGAGGTCCTGCGAAGGCCGAGTGGGTGAAGCGACACTCAGGGGCGACATAGCGAGTGTTCTGGCTAAGCACGTGGAAGAGTCAAATTTAATAATGAAATAATCATTATTATTTCAATATTAAATTTGACTCTTCCACGGCCAGAAATATGAATATTTTTTTTACATTAAACAAAAAATTAAAGTTTATGAAAGGTGAATATTTCGTATGTAAAAAGAAAAATCCCCGTAATTTTAATAAACAAATTAAAGAAAAATTCCCTATTAATCTTAATCAGATAAGGCTTCTTGATATATAAAAATGTGCAATTACGAAAAAAACCTATCAATTTGTGTTAAATAGACTTGAAATTAATTTATACTACTGATTAAAAAGATTTTATAAAATTTGTAATCGAGTTCCGAAATCGATATTAGCTTATTGGCTGTATTGATATTTGAGTACCTAATCATATATTAAATTTTAAAAGATAAGTATTTCCCGCTCTTTTCAATTTCCTATTAAATATTCGTATTTGTAATGGTGGATAATATGTGCGCGTCTACTAGCACTAGTGAATTGTGTACGTATTGTAATTTATATTTTATTTCTTTTTATAAAATTTTATTAGAATCTCAATCAGATCGTTCAGTATTTTTCAATTTTTTGTGTCGTTCGTGGTGTTCTTGTAAAAAGTTTTGTTTGTTTAAAGTGTGGACAAGATGTATTTTAGATTTAATATGAAAGTTTTTAAATGTTACAATGTAATAATTAAACCAAAGTCAAAGAAGCGTCAGTGTTTTTTATTAATGCGACATTACCATTTGGAAAAGTGTGCGACTTCAAATATGTATGTATTTTTAACAAAAAATATTTTAGTAGCTTTATATCTAACATGTTGTCAATAACAACATGGAGGACTTTCTTAGTGTAAAAACGAGTTTTAAATATTTTTTTTCTCGAAAACTATGCACAGCCAGATAATTCTACTTGTTGTTTATTTCATTAGTGATTTTTCTTTATCAAATAAAATTTTTTTGCACCTGGTAAATCACACTGTGGTAATGGAAAATCTTACCCATCCTTTTATGTACGCCTTTGTACATCCAGTTAGGAGTGATAGAATATTTTTTTTATGGAGAAAAGGAGCAAACAAGCAGGAGGCTCACATGAACACCTGCAAACACCCGAGGGCTTAAAAATGCGTTATTTACATATGTTGAATGAATATGTAAGTAAGTGAGACGATTATTACAGTAGGGTAACGGAGCATGAGGTTTATCTGCTCAATTTCGAGAAACATTTACCTAGAAATGAGATAAAAATGTAGTATATAAAAAGTAATGAACGCAAAATAAATGCTTTATTTTCGTTCACTGAGTAAAACAGTCAATAAGTAAAAAGGTCATTATTGTACTCAAATTTTAAATACATCTAATTCAAATCTGTTTTATTGTAATTTGATATATTGTTTTATTAGCAGAAGTGTTTTTCATTACAAAGATGAAAGTGATTAACAATAGAGTGATTGTTTTTCTGGAGGATAAGTATGGTGACATTGATTCATTGTGTAAACTCGTTCGAAAGAAAGCAATAAAATTAAAATAACTGCTCTTAAATATATATTCCGGTTTTTATCCTACAATGGTTTTATAATCGAGGCTTAAATATTAAAATTTGTGATTGCAGGTTGGAATACGGTGGTAGGGCCACGCAACAGTGTTGTTCACTGTTGCACGAATGAGCAGGTCCGTCCGGGTTAGTACCACGACCTCACAGAGGACCGGCGTTAAGTAGAAGTGTTGCACTTCTGCGTTTCAGATGGTGTTCTGGTGAGTGAGGTAGCCAGGGCCTAATTTATTGAGAGGTGGCAACCCATCTACAACCCTACGGGTGTTGTTAATGTCCACGGGCAGGCGGTTATCACTTAACATCAGGTAACCGCCAGCTTATTTGCTACTTTCTCACATAAAAAAAATAATAATCGATATACCAAAACACAAAGACTCCGAAATTCTAGATTCAAGCGTTGTTTAATAATATCTTTGCAAAAATATAATAAAAATGTATTAATTTCACCAAATGTTTCACTAAATAATCAATTGTATTCATCTTGACTTAAATTTAGATAGATCATTCTAAATTCAAGTTAAGAAATACCACGAATCATTGATTCAATATACTTAATAATTGAAAATAACAGTAATCGTGGACATTTTTATAAATGATTAAGTAGAGAATTTATAATCAATTCCTCACCATTACTCAGACGTTGTGTGTCTTTTGCTGCAATCTGCGCTCATATATAGTAAGATTTGAATATTATTGACACGCTTGTGGTTTTTACTAACGTTATGTTAAAAAAGTTAAACTTCCCTCTAAATCAAAAAAAATGCAGTCTCATGGGGACTGCCGACAGAAGTGAATACACACAACAACATCAAAATTAAAACTATAATTTAGATGAAAACTCACTCTTGAATAAGATCCCAATGGTAAAAATCTGACAAGCGTTTTCTGTTCGTAGATCACAAGGCTCTGATAAACCACAAGCCCGCACACAACTTTTTTGAGTAGTCATATAATCAGAACCACAATAGATCGTTTAAGAGATAGTGTAACCAACCCAATTACACGTCATAACTTTAGTTGGGTATCGATGTAGTTGTTCCCACTGTATTTAATGTTTATTGTAGTTAATTAACCGCTTGTTTATATTGAACCTGTAGTAGGACCACCTTAGGGATTCTGTTGTTTCACGAATGAATGAGAAGACTGGCATGAAGTGCACGTTCTTGAACAAGTAGGCCCTGGTAATCAAATCTCAGTCTTGACTACAAAATCATTTCTGCCTAAATTAATAAATAAATTAGAAACATTAATTTTAATGTTTTATTTCCAACACATCATCCCACCTTAGGTAAGTAAAGCAAAAAAGTAAAGTATCAGCCTATACATGTCCCACTGATGGGCAAAGGCTTCCTCTGTACAGAGGGTATCAGGGCACAGTCCACCACGCGGCCCCTCTGCGGATTGGAGGACTTCACATATCTTCGAAATATTTTTTATTATTATTTCGAAAATTTACAGGTTTCCTCACGATGTTTTCCTTCACTGAGCACGTGATAATTCAGCACTTAAAATTAACAATTTCATTGGTGGGGATCGAACTCAAGTTGCTCGAGTATAATGGATTAAAGGCGAGCGCCCGTACACAGAGCGATCACGGCTCTTAAGCCGAAAAATCTTTAAGACATTACCAACTCTGTTATGGAAAAAGTAAACCTAACTCAAAATATAAAGTGAGAGTTGGTATTTGTAAACTTGCCAGCAAACACACATTTAAAACATTTTGTCGAACTTGAAATTACGCAACATGTGTTTCAAAAAATACATTATTGATTTTAATAAAATTATATATAGTCATAATTTTAAAACCATTCCAAGCAATGTTTCGTATAAGCACCTAAACAAACAAAGCCATTCATTAAACACATATTATGTAGGCAAACATAGCTAGAACACTTGATACAATTAACTTAGATATGCTTTGCATCCAACAGATAGAATATCAATAAATAACTTGGATTGATACTTTGCATTCTTGAAGATTAACTTACGATAGTGGGAACAGTAAACTAAATATTAGAAATATTACTTATTAAAAGAAACAAAGTATTCGAATTAAGTATTCAAGCTTAACCAATGTTTATAATAATAACCTTAGACTTGGAACGGTAAATTAATCTTTTCAAAAATGCATAAAAGGATAATTGAGAAGTTTTAATATTAGAACGCCCCAATTATCCGCTAATATATATCTTAGCATCTGCCGGAGATTCTTAGCACCCCTTGCTCCACCGTTACCTTGCCTGCTACAAAGGGCAGGAATAGTGGAGCCGCCGGGGACTGGTGGCCATGCAGAAAGTGTGTCTGTCATTGGGGGAGGGGGGAGGGGTTGTCTTAATCCCCACGCTTGGCAGGCGTCTTGGTCGCAGTTATAGATGTTATGTACACGGAAGCCGCAGCTGCCCAACTTCCGGATTTTTCTTATAGTCGCCTCCTACGACACCCTCGGATTGAAATGGGTGGGTGCTATTCTTTCCCGGACACCCCACGGGGAGCTAATACATATAATTAATGGTAGTAGGAAGTACTAATTGTTAATTTGATCTAGCATGATTACTTTTGCTTAGTACAATTGGTTAAGATATATGAATAATGGTAGGATGTATAATGTTGGCTTTGGCAAATAAAATACTAGCAAGAATTGTTAAGGAAGTAATGAAACAACAAAAGTCACGTTCAAACGATAAATGACAGGTTTCGGAACCGAACACACTCGTATGTTCATCCCGTGTGTTAAGATTAATAATTACAAAATTTCTAAATAACTTTAAGTCAATACAGTATAAATAAGAAATTTAAAAATCTCACCAATTTATTAAACGCACTAGCACATAGACATCACACAATTGATAAGAATCAGAGAGTGGAATAGAGTTAAATAAGAGAATTAAAGAAGGCCCAAAAAAGTTTATTTATTAATCACATATCACAAACAAAAAAAAAAAGAATATATATATATAATCTTAAATTGACCGTAAATGGAATTTAAAGTAAATCATGGTTGTGTTTATTAAGAAAAAATCTCAAGTTTACACTTCATGGGTACTTCTTGGTTGGTCTTCCGTGAAGTGATACATAATATATGAAAGTTATTCAGCAAACAAAGGGATATTCAACAAAAATTCGTGGTAGACCGTTGTCAGTAGCATTCATCCCAGGGTATAATCTTTTTTAAGTTTTGTATACTTGCTGTAAAGAAATGTTAAGATTATTTAGATAGTTCAGAGTGGCTCATTTATTTTCTTAAGGCCAATAGTATCTCTCAATTCCATTCAACTTCGTACTGACTTTGTCATGTAATTTACCTTTCATTATAATTATTTTCATGCTATATTGTTTTGCAAAGGTTGCAGGTTACGCTAGCGTAAGGGAGTATCACTCCATAATTAATACATATTAATTCCGTAATAAGTAAAATAAATGTACCGCAGAAAAATTTATGTACTCTCGTCTCTTTTAGGATTATGTAGAAGGTGGTTCTAACATTTCTATATATCTTACACTGAAACTTGATCTATAGATCTTGATATGGCGATATATCGCCATATCATTGAAATTGTTGATACTCCCTGATAACGTTATAGAATATTAAAAGCAGCCCCCTTTATATATATTTTTATTTTAAAATTGCTCACATGAATTCAAAACAGGCATTCATTTTCAGTAATATTCACAATGTAACAAACTAAGCTAATGAGCTATTTTAAATGTTTAATATGTTTATTGAATATAAATTCCTTCCTTGAATGCAATTTCCATAAGTTTTAAATAACTGAACAAACAATTTTATAATTGTAAAAATATGGCCTTCCGTTCATTTTTGCTTTGAGTACATACAATTAGGTTTACCTAAGTATAAGACTAAGAATTTAATTGTTTTTACTCCGACCCATATACGGCAGCGGTGGTTTATCACTCGTTAGGTTAATAACCAATAAAGTTTGTAGGATAGCATTGCGTTTTTATGTCCAACTTATTTGGACAATGAATACAATTACAATTTATTTTACATGGACAAAAAATACGTACGTGGTGGACAATCCTCGTTGAAAACACAAGTTCCATAGGAATCGCGTAGATAGTCCTTTTTGCAATTGCACCCGGGTTCACATTTAGGGTTCTCTGGGCAGATACCGTAGTCCGTATAAGAGTTGTTGCAGAATTGCGGTGGACATGTTATTTTACAGTCGGCGTACTCTTCGTTAACTCCGCATTCTTTAGCTAGTACTGTCGAACAAAGAAATGTTTTTAAGTACTGAAATAATTATGGTAAAAGTTCCCTCCCGCCTGCTTTATACCTAAATCTTATCTGAAAACATAATTCTAAAAAAGGAAATTATATCCACAAGTAATTCTAAAAACAGAAACAAATTTGGATATTGAACGACAAAATGTTTTTTATTTTTGACAGAGTAGAGAAAAGCATTACAGAGTAAGTGCTTCCTCTCTCCCTGAATGACCTAGCGATTAATGTAAAAGGTCACCATGTGTTCGATATGAGATTATTCGATATTCCATCAACGGCTGAATCGCCACTTAACATCAGGTGGGATGGCAGTCAAGTACTAGCCAGTTTTTTAATTAAAAAAAAAAAAAAAAAAGATTATGGTTCCCATACATGGGTCCCATACAAAAGATTTTAGTCACTACAGGTCTTTCTGTCTTGGGCCGAAGTATCTTATGACCACTGCCTCCCCCGTATGAATAAAATGTTAATGTCATTAACTAGTATAAGTCATCAAACGTTACACATTTGTAGATTCATTTAATGGATGTGCATAATGGATATGATTACTCAGTGTCCGGGCGCTCGCCTTTAATTCAATATACTCGAGCAACCTGAGTTCGATCCCCGGTGCCGGCACCAATGAAGTTTTTAACTTTAAGTGCTGTCTTATCGCGTGCTCCGCGGTGAAGGAAAACATCGTGAGGAAACCTGCATATTTTCGAAATAATAACAAAAAAAAATATTTCGAAGATATGTGAAGTCCGCCAATCCGCAGTGTGGCCGCGTGGTGGACTATGCCCTGATACCCTCTATATAGAGGAGGCCTTTGCCCAGCAGTGGGACATGTATAGGCTGTTACTTTACTTTTTTTACTTTTACTTATAAAACAAGTTTGAAGAATTACTGGCCATCTAAATTAAAGCTTGTCTCAACACTTACCGGTCCCTTCACAGCTAAGCGACAATGCGCCAACAATGAAATATGTTATGAGCATCATGTCCACGACGCACTGTCACATAAAAAGGCAGAACACGTTTATATAATTCAAACGTTAGCAAATATTTATTTCAAATTCAGTCAAACACAAGAAGCTAATGTAACTTCAGACGATGAAAACACACGAATGTTATGCGACTGAATTTAATAGGTCGTTGATTTATACACGTGTAGCGACTACTGGTGACAGTTGAACCTGTGACCTTGACAGCACACCGTTATTTGGAATAGTTGATATTACGGAACATGTTAGTTGTAAAGAATTTTTAACACAACAATGACAAAAATTTTAAGACAATTATGTATCAAAAAAAAATTTAATCCATCCTTTGTAACCATTACGCGTTAATGGTATAAATTTCCATAAATATTTCTTATTAACACCTAATCAAACAAAGCCATGTTCGTTAATGTTAAACACATATACACACACATTAACAACATTATTATACACGTCACCGCCGCAAAAACACTTGATTCGGTTTACTTTTATATTTTTTAAAATCATATAACAAAAAATATCTTGTGCAAGTAGCTTTACACACACTAGCGCGGTATGAATATCGACCGCTTAGCTTAGTGGCTCGTGTCTGAACCCGAAACAAGAAGGGTACAGGTTCGAATCCTGGCAGCGGACGTAAAATTTGCTGGTAATAATTTTTTTTTTCTCTATATCGTATAATATTTATTAACTTGTTTTCACTGCTACGATATTCCTGGCGGAGAGAGTTCAGTGAATAATTAGTCATTTAATCTCTCTTAATCTTACCCAATAAATAACGGTTATGTTCTGCTAGTATTATTGGCGTCGCGAAATTTCCATGTAACACCATACAACTCTTCTGGAGTTAAATTGCAAACTGTCAATCACAAGAGCGACCGCCGACAACGTTACCTCAATAAAATCTTATATATACCCGAACTACGCAATATCTGCTTACTTTACTTATATCGAACGATTTTACGTATTAATGGTCACAGTTATTGCGAATTTCCGAAAGTTTACATCGACTCTACATAACGTTTAAACAAGTTTTTTTAAATCATTTCTTGTATATACGCGATTAGTTTTATTTAATTATCTTATTTCTATCACCTTACATGTCTCTAACTGTGTAAGAGTATGCAAAGAAAATGTATGTATATAAGTAAAACAGAAATTTGTTAAATGAAAAAAATAGTGATAAGAAAACTGTAAGAAATAAGAAACAATGTAACCATATATAATAGTATGTTACAAAATTTGTTTCATGGTTGGCCGTACGAAAGTACCACGTCCGGTAGCGCTGTCAAAACATCGGTTCCGTTTAAAGATGGCCTAGATCTAGAAGAAAGCAATGACTAAGCCAAAAGATACTCGCATTTGGTTAGCCGGACATTGAGAAATAGCATCATCATCATCATCATTTCAGCCTGTTTGAGTCCACTGCTGAACATAGGCCTCCCCCACAGACTGCCACGAAGTACGATCCTGAGCCACCTGCATCCATCGACTTCCCGCACATTTGCACAGGTCGTCACTCCATCTAGTGGGGGGTCGTCCTACACTGCGATGGCCAGTACGAGGCTGCCACTCGAGAACCTTTCTTCCCCAACGGTTATCGGTTCTACGAGCTATATGGCCGGCCCATCGCCACTTCAGCTTGCTAATCCTCTGAGCTATGTCGGTTACCTTGGTTCTACTGCGGATGTCTTCGTTACGAACTCTATCACGCAGAGAAATACCGAGCATAGCCCGCTCCATAGCTCGCTGAGCGACTTTGAGCTTCCTCATACGGCCAGCAGTGAAGGACCACGTCTCGGTTCCGTAGGTCATCACTGGCAACACACATTGATTGAAGACTTTAGTCTTCAAACATTGAGGTATATTCGACGAGAAGATTTGCCGAAGTTTCCCGAACGCTGCCCATCCGAGTTGGATTCGCCGATTGACCTCTGCGTTGAAGGAAATAGCAAATCTTCACTAAAAACACTTGAGTATTTCGATGTAAAGAAGAAAGCTTTGAAGAGCTCTGTTATATTTTGGTCAGTAATAAATTCGTTGGATCGTACGGGGTTAGTCATTCTCCAAAAGACACACGGTCTCACCAACACAACGTAAGTTCTGATCTCTTGTACACAAACTGCATTGGCTCTTAGCGAAAACATAGCGCTTGTCTGTTGTGTAAGGCCGGCTCGAGAGGGCCGCTCCGAGTCGTGAACGAATGAGTCCATTGAATGCACTCTGGATGCTCATAGGTGAAGGTGGTAGAGGAAGACCCACTTTCCCTATCTTCTGTAATCTCTGTGAAGCCGCGAGGGAAGAGAAGTGTGTGTCTCTACAGGCTCCTATGGCCGCTGGTCAGCGAAATCGGAGGAATTTTTTGATAAAACTTTTTCAATTTATCAAACTGAAATCGTTTTTACTTTATTATTAGATTTTTTGGCTGCGGTGCCTTTTATTTAATGCCAACAAAAGTTTATTTATTTTGTGTATCTATTAAGAAGTGATAGGAGAGCTCTTCTTGGGTTGTGATCGTGCTTTGCAGGTCATTATTTAAAACGCCCCTTAATAGCATAAGTTATATACTAAATGGGCATTAAAACCGCTTTAGCGTCATGGCAATATGGTGCTACCTGTCCAGCGTGATATATGGTGGACGCTAATTGCCGCTCGTCTAAATTGTAAATTCATGAAATTCTCAAAATAATATCTTATTATTGGCTTTTTTAAGAATTTAAGGTTAAACTTATCTGACGCCTCATAAACATAGATCATAGATAGAAATGGTTTCCTTTTTGTCTTCAAAGTACTGATACAAACCTGACACATTTTTATAAATATTACAAAACGCAAAATGTGAGAATTTTTTACTTACCTATAATTTATTACCATCCAAGCTTCATTTTGTCCGAAGCGCTAGATTCAAATTCAAATTCAAATTCAAATTCAAATTCAAATCATTTATTCATCGAAATAAGAAATATACATTTCATTTATCGATAGTCATTTTTTAAATCTACCACCGTTTCTTAATGAGGTTCCTCTAACGGAGAAGAAACAGGCGAAACTCGAAAGGCGTAGGTATCCTCATTTTTGTCATTTTTTTTTACTCAACAAATACATAGTTATACAGTACATATATTTTTTTTTTTTTTTTTTTTAGAAATAGCTTAGAAGCGATCATCTCATTCCCAGGGGTTATTATCGTTAATGTATTCATTTATATTATAATAACCCTTTTTAAAAAGTTTTTCTTTTATAAATGTCTTAAACCTGTTAATAGATAGGCTTTGCACATTAATTGGGATTTTGTTGTAGAAGCGTATACACCGCCCCATCAACGAGCCACTGACTCTATGGAGTCTAGTAACTGGCGTTACAAGCTTGTGTTTGTTCCTAGTGTTTACATTATGTACATCAGTATTCTTATTAAAATTATTAATGTTTCTATGTACATACATTACATTTTCATAAATATATTGAGAGGCCAAGGTTAAAATATTTATTTCTTTAAATTTCTCTCTCAGAGATGCATTCAAATTAAGATTGTAAATTGCTCTTATGGCCCTTTTTTGCAAAATAAATATTGTTTCAACATCGGCTGCATGCCCCCATAGCAAAATACCGTATGACATTATGCTATGGAAATAACTAAAATAAACAATTCTAGCTGTATTTACATCAGTCAGATATCTTATTTTCCTTACAGCATATTAAACTGCAGAACTTAGTCTGCTAGCAAGTTTGGATATATGGGGGCCCCATTGAAGCGTTGAATCAAGAGTTATTCCTAGAAAAACAGTGGTATCCACAAGGCCTAACTCGTCCCCATTTATAAGTACATTGGCACCACATTTATATTGCCACACGTTTTATTGCCATTTAACAGTAAATTATTAGCATTAAACCAATGAACTATTTCTGACATAGCATGATTTACCTCGTTAAGCGTTACAATACCTTCGCTTAATTTTAAAGATTAAAGAAGTATAGATGTAGGATCTCGAAGGCCATAAATCTAATAGTTCAGGTTAAATTTCTTGTTTTCTTTTCTGATTGTAAATGATTTGTACAGAGTTTTGTAAAGGACTGCATAGCTGCGTGATAGCCACCGCACCCATTGGCAAACATCGTATCGGATGCAAAAAAACGTAGTTATTGCGTAACATCAAACAACAGTTAAGAACACGTAAGTGTAACTATTCCTTGTTATTAATAAAAATGAAGTAACAGTATATACTGTAAATCTATTTCGCAGAAACGGACGTTTTCATATAAACAAAACTCATGGCATTGCCGTTCGAACATTCAGGTCGAATTTAATCCGTCTACTTCAACTTGTTCACACTTGCGGTCAGGCTGGCCAAATGTATAGTAAAGATAAACTGGACCTTCATGCAAGATTTATGTTTATTGACCTATATTTAAAGCTATTCTGCTTTAAGGTGTTAGAATTTAATGTCTCTGATAAGAAATAATCTACGACAACAATCTTATGACTTTTTAATGTGCTATTTTGAATGTTGAACTTCTGAAAACAATGGTCACAAATCTCAATGTGTGCTGTGCCGAAAACTTACGTTGTTTTCTAAAAGTATGCATGTAATTATATTATCAAAATTAAATTATTTCAAAGTTTATTGATTTAAAAAAATATTAATTTTTTTTTAACATTCACAACAAAAACTGAGTATTGCATTTGTTCTCTGTCGAAATAGGTAAAGTACAAAAAATTTCAAAATTTGTTATCACGAGAATCAAGATTTTATAAATGAATAAAATGGTGAAATAAATATTTTGCTGATACTATAATTGGTTTCCATAAGCCTTCTTTATTGCTATTACGACCATACATCAGTTATCGAAAGCATTCACGTAATATTGTAAATCATTTGAACATTTCGACGAACCGGTTGGCGTAGTTGACAGTGACCCTGTCTCTTGCGCCAGAGGGTGAGGGATCGATTTCCATTACTGAAAAAATTTGATGATTGTATTTATTTATTTAAAAATATATTGTTTACAACCCCAAACTTAAGCCTAAACAAAAGATAAACTTAACGCTAATAAGCATTTCCTTCCAGTTAACCCTCAGTTAAATTTAGAGGAAATTTTACTTTTATGAATTTTTGAGTAAATAGTAAATAATCTATCTACACAACCTAATGTACGATCAATACGTAACGGTCTTTAAGAAATTATAGCTATCCTTCTCGGATAATTATATTCATTTTAGTTTTAACTGTTGTAACTGTCGTCGTGTTTAGGGTTCCGTACCCAAACGACGCAGTAATAGGGTCCCATAGGAGAAAAATTGGCTCTATTATTAAGACTTCGCTGTCTATTTGTCTGTCCGTCTGTCACCAGGCTGTATCTCATCAACCGTGATAGTTAGACAGGTGAAATTTTCACAAATGATTTATTTATGTTGCTGCTATAACAACCAATACTAAAAATCATGATTTTTGTACGGAACCCTTCGTGCGCGAGTCTGACTCACACTTGGCCGGTTTTTTTTCTGAGCCCATTCCAACATCAACACCACGTACAAAAATCAATTATTAAACTAAATATGGCACACTTTCATAACTTATTGAATGATACTTCAGTAGTAATTAGTAGCAGTACAATGGCTGCAGTGAGTGCTATTTATGTAAACTAGTGAAAATATCACCAATAAAATAAATTTATTTATCTTTATGTGATAAAATTATAATGTATAAAATACAAAGAAATATATAGAGCACAGTATAAAAATATTCTGGTTAATTAAATAAAATGAAGCTGAAAATCTAAAATGAAAGGGAGTCGTAAAACGGTTTCTCATTTTGCGCATCGATAAATTCCAGGGTTGATTGATGTCTTAAAGCAAATCTTATTTAGATGAAATTCTGTTTCAACCTCAACACAGGCAAACTTCAATTGAGACGAATGGCAATTAAGTTCGTATCTAAATACAAGTGTACTAAATGTTTAACCTTAAATAGTTCAGTGTATTCAGTATCTTAATATCTGTATCAGTTGATATATTAGATTTGTAAAGGTAAACTAATACGAAATATTGTAGGAAAGAAAGAATAAAGACTATTCCTATAGATCTATAATGGGCTTTTTTACCCTATCCTGTTTTTACAAGGCATAAACACATAAAGGATCACATTGCTGAGTACCCGAATAAACTCCTATGTGCATTCAAGGCGTTATGAAGATAAAACAATAAAATTGTTAGGTTTGTGCATTTACCGCTAAAATTAAACCCTTCGTCCTGTCCTTGAAGAATAAAGGATGTTCATCTAAATGGTGGGACCAATTTTACACCTCCTCCTATAAATTTAACAGAATTTATAACACTTTGCTGTTTTTGTATTAATGTTATGAGAATAAGAGATTTAGTTTTACGGTATGTCACACTCTATACTGCTGTCACCCCCATTTTAATAGTATTCCTTTGTCAATCATTGCCAAATAATTATTTATTTACTGTTTATTTTGCGATGACATCTTTATTCAATCCCAGTGTACTTACTATGTATAATGTATTTAGTTATTTACTGTATATGAATTATTAAATTCAAAGCCAAATCTGGCAATGCAATGAATCAACGTCTTTGGTATGACGTGACTGAACTCTCAAATTTACGAAGCTGTTGTTGTGTTACGAGTACTGGAAAACTCTTTTCGGTTCTATTATGACAGCTGTCGGCTATTGTAATGTAACTGAAGGAGACGCTATTGCGAGCAATGGAAAATTTTGAAAGCCTTGAAACTGATCTCTGACGTTGAAATAATTAATTATCTTAGAAATGTTATAAAAATGTCATCAATCGTACCTCTGAAATATATGAAATTTAAATTCGTAAAATAAAAAAAAGAAAACAATAACAATAATACAGTTCTCTAAATGACTTTTTATTGTGTAGTAAATAACAAGCTTTATTAAAAAAAAATGTTATTATTGTATATCCTTATAATAAAAACTTCAGGTATTATCTTTTAAAAAGTCTTTACTGATCTCGGAGAAAAATAAACAACTTAAATGAAGAAGTTTAATCGTTTCGGGGAAAATAAATATTTAAAAATT